TTCCAGTTCTGCGAAGAAGGTCATTGGTAGCTTGATGGGGATAGCATTGAATCTGTAAATTACTTTGGGCAGTATGGCCATTTTCACAATATTGATTCTTCCTAACCATGAACATGGAATGTTTCTCCATCTGTTTGTGTCCCCTCTTATTTTGTTGAGCAGTGGCTTGTAGTTCTCCTTGAAGAGGTCCTTTACGTTCCTTGTTAGTTGTATTCCTAGCTATTTTATTCTCTTTGTGGCAATTGTGAACGGAAGTTTGTTCTTGATTTGGCTCTCTTTAAGTCTGTTATTGGTGTATAGAAATGCTTGTGATTTTTTGCACATTGATTTTGTATCCTGAGACTTTGCTGAACTTGCTTATCAGTTTCAGGAGATTTGGGGCTGAGACGATGGGGTCTTCTAGATATACAATCATGTCGTCTGCAAATAGAGACAATTTGATTTCCTCCTTTCCTATTTGAATGCCCTTTATTTCTTTTTCTTGCCTGATTGCTCTGGCTAGAACTTCTAATACTATATTGAACAGCAGTGGTGAGAGAGGGCACCCTTGTCTGGTGCCACATTTCAAGGGGAATGCTTCCAATTTTTGCCCATTCAGTATGATATTGGCTGTTGGTTTGTCATAAATAGCTTTTATTATTTTGAGATACGTTCCATCAATACCTAGCTCATTGAGGGTTTTTATGGTACTGGTACCAAAACAGAGATATAGACCAATGGAACAGAACAGAGGTCTCGGAGGCAACACAACATATCTACAACCATCTGATCTTTGACAAACCAGACAAAAACAAGCAATGGGGAAAGGATTCCCTGTTCAATAAATGGTGTTGGGAAAGCTGGCTAGCCATGCGCAGAAAGCAAAAACTGGACCCCTTCCTGACACCTTACACTAAAATTAACTCCAGCTGGATTAAAGACTTAAACATAAGACCTAACATCATAAAAACCCTAGAAGAAAATCTAGGCAAAACCATTCAGGACATAGGTGTAGGCAAGGACTTCATGACCAAAACAGCAAAAGCATTGACAACAAAAGCCAAAATAGACAAATGTGGGACCTAATCAAACTCCACAGCTTCTGCACAGCAAAAGAAACAATCATTAGAGTGAATCGGCAACCAACAGAATGGGAAAAAATTTTTGCAGTTTACCCATCTGACAAAGGGCTGATATCCAGAATTTGCAAAGAACTAAAACAGGTTTACAAGAAAAAAACTAACAAACCCATTCAAAAGTGGGCAAAGGATATGAATAGACACTTTACAAAAGAAGACATACATGAGACCAACAAACATGAAAAAATGCTCATCATCACTGGTCATCAGAGAAGTGCAAATCAAAACAACATTGAGATACCATCTCACACCATTTAGAATGGAGATCATTAAAAAATGTGGAGACAACAGATGCTGGAGAGGATGTGGAGAAATAGGAACACTTTTGCACGGTTGGTGGGAGTGTAAATTAGTTCGAACATTGTGGAAGACAGTGTGGCAATTCCTCAAGGACCTAGAAATAGAAATTCCATTTGACCCAGCAATCCCATTACTGGAACACTTGCACACAATGTTCATTGCAGCACTGTTTACAATAGCAAAGACCTGGAACCAACCCAAATGCCCATTGATGATAGACTGGATAGGGAAAATGTGGCACATATACACCATGGAATATTATGCAGCCATCAAAAACGATGAGTTTGGGTCCTTTGTAGGGACATGGATGAACCTGGAAACCATCATTCTCAGCAAACTGACAGAAGAGCAGAAGATCAAACACCGCATGTTCTCGCTCATAGGCGGGTGTTGAACAATGAGAACACATGGACACAGGGAGGGGAGCACTACACACTGGGGTCAGTTGGGGGGAAATAGGGGAGGGGCAGTGGGGGGTGGGAAGCTGGGGAGAGATAGCAAGGGGAGAAATGCCAGATGTAGGTGATGGGGAGGAAGGCAGCAAATCACACTGCCACGTGTGTACCTATGCAACAATTTTGCATGTTCTTCACATGTACCCCAAAACCTAATATGCAATAAAATAAATAAATGGGGGGAAAAACATTTTGAGGAACTACCAAACTGTTTTCCAAAATAGGTGCACCATTTTATTTTATATTACTACCAGCAATGTATAAAAGTTGTAATTTCTTCTCAACCTTGCCAACATGCATTATCCTCCTATTATCCTGTTTTATTATAATCATTCTAGTGGGTGTGAAGTAGTATCTCACTGGAGGTTTGAATTGAACTGAATGAATGATTAATGATTTTGATCATCTTTTCATGTGCTTATTGGTCATTTTATATAGATCTTGATAAAGATGGCCTTTGCTCATTTTGAATTACATTCTTTTCCTTTTGTTCAGTTGCAAGAGTTCTTTATAAATTCTGCATACAAGTCCCTTATCAGACATAGGATTTGTGAATATTTCCTATATGTTTACTTTCTTGATGGTGCCCTTTGAATAAAAATGTTTTTAATATTAATGCAGTCTAATTTATCTATCTTTTCCTTTTGTTTCTTGTGCTTTTAAAAATTTTATTTATTTACTATTTATTATTTCAATAGTTTTTTGTGAACAGGTCATGTTTGGTTACATGGATAAGTTATTTAGGTGTGTGATTTCTGAGCTTTAGGTGTGTGCATCACCTGAGTGGTATATGCTGTTCCCAATATGTAGTCTTTGATCCCTCACCCTCCTCACACCCTATAATACCCAGAGTCCATTATATAATTTTTAATGCCTTTGCTTGCTCATATCTTAGCTCCCACTTCTAAGTGAGAACATATGATGTTTGGTTTTCCATTCCTGAATTGCTTCACTTACAATAATGGTCTCCACCTCCATCCAGGTTGCTGCAAATGGCATTATTTCATTCCTTTTAATTGCTAATATTCCAGCTGAATTCTATCAGACATTAAAAGACGCGTTGGCATCAAGCCTACGAAAACTATTCCAGAAGACAGAGAAAGGGAATCCTCCTTAAATCATTCTATGAACCCTAATACAAAAGCCAGGAAAGGGCATAACAACAAAGAAACTTCAGACCAATATCCCTGCATAGATGCAAAAATCCTCAACAAAACACTAGCTAACTGAATACAACAGCATATCAAAAAGATAATACAACACGATCAGGGGGGTTTTATACCAGAGATGCAGGGTTTGTTTAACATATGCAAGTAAACAAATGTGATACACCACATAAAAAGAAATAAAAAGAAGAGTCGTATGATCATCTCAATAGATGGAGAAAAAGTGTTTGACAAAATTCAGCATTCCCTTATGATTAAAACTCTCAGCAAAATTGGAATAGAAGGAACATACCTTAAGGTAATAAAAGTCCCCTATGACAAATGCACAGCTAACATTATACTGAATGGGGAAAAGTTGAAAGCATTCCTGAGAACTGGAACAAAACAAGAATGTCCACTTTCACCACTTTTATTCAACATAGCACTGAAAGTTCTAGCCAGACCAATCAGAGAAATAAATACACTGATCAAGAGAATGAAATAAAGGGCATCCAAATTGGCAAAGAGGAAGTGAAATTATCACTGTTCACTGATGACATGATTGTATACCTAGAAAACTCTAAAGACTTATCCGAAATCTACTAGATCTAATAAGTGAATTCAGTAAAGTTTCGGATACAAAATCAATGTACACATATAAATAGCACTGCTATACATCAACAGTGACCAAGGTGAAAATCACATCAAGAACTCAATCCCTTGTAACGTAGCTGCAAAAAATAAAATAAAAATACTCAGGATTAAACCTAACCAAGGATGTGAAAGAGCTGTCCCAAGGAAAACTGCAAGACACTGCTGAAAGAAATCATAGATGACACGAACAAATAGAAACATATCCCATGCTCATGGAAGGGTAGAATCAATATTGTGAAAACGTCAAAAGCTATCTACAAATTTAATGCAATTCCAATCAAAATATCACCATCATTCTTCACAGAACTTAAAACAATATCCTAAAATTCACATGAAACAATAAAAAGCCTGCATAGCCAAAGCAAGATGAGGCAAAAAGAAAAAATCTGGAGGCATCACATTACTCAACTTCAAACTATACTACAAGGCTAGAGTTAAAACAGCATGGTACTGGTATAAAAACAGGCATATAGACCAATATGAATGTAACAGAATAGACAGCCCGGAAATAAACTCAAATACTTACATCCAACTGTTCTTCAACAAAGCAAATGAAACTATGACGTGAGGAAAGGACATCCTGTTCAACAAATGGTGCTGGGATAATTGGCAAGCCACATGTAAAAGCATAAAATTGATCTTCTCTCACCTTATATAAAAATCAACTTAAGATGGAACAAAGACTTATAAATATAAGACCTGAAGGCATAAAAATTCTGGAAGATAACATCAGAACAACTCTTCTAAACGCTGGCTTCAACAAAGACTTCACAGTCAAGAGCCCAAAAGGAAATGCAACATAAACAATTATAAATAGATTGGACTTAATTAAACTAAAAAGCTACTGCACAGCAAAATAAATAATCAGCAGAGTTAACAGACAACCCAAAGAGTAGGATATAAATCTTTGCAAACTATGCATCTGACAAAGGAGTAGTATTCAGAATCTACGAAGATCTCAAACAAATCAGCAAGGAAGAAAATAATAATCCCTTTTAAAAAGTGGGCTAAGGAAACAAATAGACAATCCTTAAAAGAAGATATAAAAATGGCCAACAAACATGTGAACAAATGTTCAATATCAATAATTATCAGGGAAATTCAAATCAAAACCACAATGAGACACCATTTTACTCCTGCAAGAATGGCCATAATTTAAAAATTAAAAAAAATAGATATTGGCATGGATGTGGTAAAAATGAAACACTTTTTACACTGCTGGTGGGAAAGTAATCCAGTGCAACCACTCTGAAGAACAGTATGGAGATTCCTTGAAGTACTAAAAGTAGACCTACCATTTGACACACTCTCACTACTGGGTATCTATGCAAAGAAAAAAGAATCATTCTATGAAAAAGAACTTGCATATGCATATTTATAGCAGCACAATTTGCAATTCCAAAAATATGGAGCCAGCCTAAATTCCCATCAACTGAGTGCCTAAAAAAAATATTGCTTGTGCTTTTGATGTCATAGCTGAGAAACCACTGCCAAAACTAAGGTTGCAAAGGTTTACTTCTATGTTTTTTTCTAAGAGTTTTATAGGTTTAGCTTTTCCATTTTGTATTAAATTTTGTGCATAGTATGATATAGGAGTCTGAATTTATTATTTTTATATCCATATATAGTTGTTCCAGCTTCATTGTCTGTAAAGATTTTTCACCACTGAATTGTCTTGCCACCCACATCAAAAGCCATTTGACCATCAATGTATGACTATTTCTGAACTATTAATTCTATTCCATTAATCTATATACCCACCCTTCTTCCAGTATCATTCTGTCTTTATTATTCCTTTAGTAAATTTTTAATGAAAGAAAACTTAGTTATTTTCACTTTGTCCTTTCAAAATTTTATCTTTGTCTTTGGGTTTTAACATTATGATCATGATATATCTGTGTGTAGATTATTTGCCTTTATCCTACTTGAAGTTCATTAAATTTTAGGATGTACAGATTGTTTTCCATCAAATTTGGAAAGTTATCTGCCACTAATTTTTCGATTATGTTTTCTATTCCAATATGTCTTTTTCTCCTCTTCTGGTACTTCTAGAATGTTGTTGCAATAACTGATGCTCTTATTTCTCTGAGACTATCTTTACTTTACTTTATTTTTTTGTCCTGAGATTGCTATTCTCTATCAAAGTGTCTTCAAGCATGTTGATTTTCTTTTCTTCTACAGGGCTATATCTACTATGGATTCTCTTTAGTAAATTTTCCATATCGAGTATTTTAATTTTCAACTCCAGAGTTTCTCTTTGTTTTTTAAAAAAATGTTTTATCTCTTTACTGATATTTCTTATTTAAAGAGACTTTGCCATTATACTATCCTTTACTTAATCATAATTAAAAAGAATTTTAATATTAGCATTTATATTTGTAATAGATGCTTTGAAGTTTTGTCTTTATTTTAGTCTGTATCTCAGCCCTGTCAAAATCTGTTTCTATTGCCCAGTTTTCTTTTTAGGTTTCTGTGTATGAGACCTATTTTCCCATTTCTTTGCATGGTTTCTTAGCTTGCTCTACTATAACCGAATACCATGGATTGGGTGGCTTAAATCATAAATAATAATTTACCACAGTTCTGGAGGATGGAATGGCCAAAATCAAGGTCAGCGGATTCATTAGTTGGTGAGCACATTCTCTTCTTATCCTCACATGGCTGAGGGCAAATAGAAAAAGGGTGCACTCTTACAGTGTTCTGTTAAGAGGAAATGTATAAGCTTCATCTTCATAACCTAACTACCTCTCAAAGGTCCCACTCCCAGCACCAACATATTGGAAGGGCACAAACCTTCAGTCCATAAAACATATTTCATAATTGTGTGCCAGAAACTGGATACTTCAGATAATATATTGTATCAACTCTGGATACTTATCCCTTCTAAATCATCTTATTGTTTGGTTGTTTCCTTGTTTGTTTATTGATTTGAATGGAGCATTTTGGTAAAGTTTATTTACCCTGCAGTATTTAACTTCCGATGTCATGCCTTATATTGTGAAGCTTGGGTCTGTACACAGTCTCTGACTATCAGTGAGATGACTGGTGTTTTAGCCAGGATGTCTCTTTCACTTTTGCTTTCTCTGTTAATCATCTGGCTCATCTGACTCTTTTGATCTTATCTGATTTGGCTGTGTTCCTACCCAAATCTCATCTTGAATTTTAGCTCCCACAATTCCCACGTGTTGGGGAAGGGATGCAATTGGAAGTAATTGAAATATGGGGGCAGGTGTTTCCCTTGCTGTTCTCATGATAGTGAATAAGTCTCATGAGATCTGATGGTTGTATAAAAGGGATTTTTCCTGCACTAGTTCTATTCTTTTGTCTGCTGACATGTAAGATCTGCATTACGCCTTCAGCCAATATTGTGAGGCCTCCCCAGCCACATGGAACTGTGAGTTCATTAAACCTCTTTTTAATTATAAATTATGCAGTCTTGGGTATGTCTTTATCAGCAGCATGAAAACAGACTAATACATAATTGGATACTCAGCCTCCATTGTTGGCCTCCACCAATTTCTAGCTGATTGTTGTATTGTTTTTGCCCACAACCTGGGGCATGTATTACAAAACATTCTGATACAATTAATGTCAGGCCTCTTTGCAGGAGTAGATATTTTAGGCTTAGTCTGACTTTATACTTTATGAGGGCCCCTCTTAGCTGTTTCTTTCCCTGGTTCTCTCTTACAAAAATAGGAGGAAAGCTGTGTTTATATTGCTATTAATTTCTATGTTTATAACTGGTCTCCTACTTTTGTTCCCTTTTAGTTGTTCACAATCAAAATCTCCAGTGTTTTTGACAATACTCTTAGGCATAAACTTCTACACTGTCTTCCAAATGAAGTTGGTCTCCTTAGGAAAAGCTGAGTTGACTCTATTCTGGTAGCCTGCTTCTTACCCGGAAAGAACCTAAAAGCCCCTGACCCATAGCTGTGTGAAGGGACAGCAGCTCACATCTGGAGTAAAATCCCTGGTCTAGAAGCCAGGTGCTTGTGGAAAAGGAAGTCCTTGGTATTCTTGGCTTGTTCCTCTAGCGTGGAAACTTCAAAACATGAGAGAGCCGGAAAGGTGGGGATGTCCAGGGCCCAGCAACCATTGCCTGACATAACAAAGATAAAGATTTACTTTTTAACTTTTAAGTTCAGGGGTACAAGTGAGGTTGCACATTTTTTATAGGTAAAATGTGTGTCATGGGGGTTTGTTGCAAAGACTATTTCACTAACCAGTATTAAGCCTAGTACCCATTAGTTATTTTTCCTGATCTACTCCCTCCTCCCACCATCCACCCTCCAATAGGCCTCGGTGTGTGTTGTTTCTCTCTAGGTGTCCACATGTTCTCAGAGTAGAAAGATTTTAGTCTACCAGTGTGTGCATGGGATGAAAGACTCAATCCTCTTAAATATGCCTATCTGCAATAGAGCTTCTACAGCAAGGAAAGAGGAGGAAGAGTCGAGAAGAGAGATGCTGGCAGCCTTCTTCTCCAGGGGCAAATTGGTAGCCCTAATCCAGAATCTGGGAGGAGATAAAACCTGCCTTCTTGGCCACATTCACCTGGAGGAGAGCTTCTGTCGCACTAGAATGGGAGAGGGGGCTTGCAAGTGGACCACAGAGTCTCACTGTTTTCACTGAGATTTAGTAAATGCACTTAACTAATGTTTGCAATATGCTCTCAGGACAATATTCAGAGACTTAAAATTTTTTTTTAACTTTTCACCAGTTAAATAATTGTTTCACAGGGAGGGGTTCTCATACTGCTATTCCCAATTCCCATATCTCTCAAATGTCTTTTAAATAAATTTATATTAATCATGAAAGTTCCCTAAAATGACCATTTTATTATAGCTTATACTTTGTTATATTTTGCTGTTTAGACATACAAGTGCAAAAAAAAAATGGAATTATAATGAGTCATATGGGAGTAAACTCTGGCCCAGAGGAAGGGTGTACATAGATTTATACAAACTTACTAAGGTTTAGTAATGGTTGACTAAATATTCTGCTTGAGTTCCACATATCTCAGGACCTTAACCTAATGGTTGGTGTTTTTCAACTTGAGAACTGATGAATATGCAACTTTGGTAATAGAAGTTGTGTTGAGTAGATCTCTGTTAGACCTTGGCTCTCAGGGAAAACACAGGGTGATACTCAAGAAAGCATTTTGTCTGATACTACTCAAAAGAAAGTTTAATCTATAAGGACATCAGACTATTGTAACATGTCATTTATTAATCCTTGTTGCTGGCTTGAAGGACAAACTTAACAGACTTACATACATCCTCTGCCCTGTGAACTTCCACCTAGAGTCCAACAAGAAAAAGAATGAAGGCAACTAGAGACATAGAGTGTAATTAATAATAAGACAGTTTTTACCAAGAATAATAGTTTTCAAAACTTATCAATTTATCAAAAGATTCTTAAAACATGGATAAACATTTCTAGGACACAGAATAAACTCAGTGTCTGGGAGTTTAATTAATAGAAATTGTAGTTTGTACTCAACATGGAAGCTGGTTCAGTATGATAAAGGAGGGCACAGGAGACCCACTAAGGACTCTGATTCAGAGGTGATGATCTTGAGCCCTGTTGGCAAGGTGGTTTCTGCTGGATCTTGGTTGAGTCTCCAGAATTTTCAAAGATCCCCATTCCACACCAAGATCACTGGGAAAATCTGTTAATCAACAAAAATTAAGCTTGTTTAACTTACTGCAGCAAGGAAGAACATGAACTTAGCAGAGCTCTATTTGTGTTTCAAATGGTTGAAAGGAGAAAAGGATATTTAAACAGATTAGATTTTTATTTTGGTATATTCAGGTGAATTTTGCAAGATAATGAACTTGAAACTAAACAGAGTTTGTGATATGACAGTTTTGGATTGGCGGTATCCCAAATCAATGGTCTGAAAATGAGTCTTGATTGCATTCTTAGTTTTGACATGTAGAATCATTTGTTTGGGTTACAGACTCACTTTCTGGGAGGAAATATTTCCTAAGGCCAACTGCTAGGATGTTTTTTGTTTGGTGTCAGAATTGTTTAACTAGGAATAGAAAAATGTGCATGGTTTCATTTTTTATATAGGGACAGCTAATTATATTGTCTTCATTTCTCACTATCTATATACATCCTATTTTTGAGAAGAAATATAGGGAAAATACAATTATGGAAAAAAACCAGGACAAATATGCTACATATTGAACATTTAGAACTCAATTACATTTGGTGTTTGAACTTTCTGTGCATAATAAATATATTTTAATTAACATTGCTAAAACAAGGCTAAACTTTTCACCTTTTTTGCTGAAGTTACTCAGATAAAAATTTAAGGTCAAAACATTTTAAAGTTGTATCTATTCTCAGATTTCTTTTAAATGTGGTTCTTTATTTAAAATTCTTCCATATATTTGTCTAAGTTTATTCTTTGGTCCTAATACTTGGTTTAATTGTGATATTTTTATCTTTGTCTACATTTTCCCCTTACTATTCTTGTTAATGTTTTGCAAAGAGAATGTACATAGAGCCAATTTAGGTCAGATACATTTAAAGATATATTAATAAGACTTGTATTATAATGACAAAATAAATATTGTTCTCTTCAGAACCAAAGGATGTGTTAATATATATATGCACATATATATATTCATATATATAGACAGATAGATATAGATGTATTTTGTCACAATTGCCATCATCCCATCACCATGAGGTACTTATTGCCTATATTTTTCTTTTCTGTTCTTTAATCACATGCCAAAAAAGTGTCGGTGTCTCAAGCTTATGTATTGATCTACTGAATCCAAGTCTATAAGAAATGCAGAAGCATTTATGTCCACCTTCCCCTCTTACCCTCTTCATCTATTCGAACCATTGAGTCCAATGATTTTTTAGATCTTCTGCGTAGGTGTTATTCTCTAATTTTACTTTATGTACTTTTCTGAGTCCAAACTTTGTGTGTTTAAATCTTCTTGGAATAATCTCATATTTTGCAAAGCAATCCATAGGTTACTTTCTAGCATATGAGATGCAAGAGGTAAAATTTCTAGATGATTTTATATCTAAAGTTGCCTTTATTCTGCACTTCACTTGACAATTTTGTTGGGCAAAATTTGTAGTTGAAGTCTTTTCCCTCAGCATATTTTCTTCTAGCAATCAGTTTGATGTTAACCTGATTTTCATTACTTTGTATTTTTTACAGAAATTTCAGAATCCTTGCCTTTATCCAGAGTGTTCTGAAATTTCATGACAAGTGTGTTTGCATATATTAACATCTTTAGCACGAAGGGCAGTTTAAAGAAGCTTGTCACTCTGCAAATCTAGCATATTGGTGTAAATGATTTTATATTCAATCTTTCTGCTTTTGAAACTGTTGAACATTTGGAATCACTTTTCTAGGTACATTGTATTTTCTACTTTTTATTCTACATTTTTGGGTATTTTCTTCATTTTGGTTTCTAATCTCTCTGTTGCAATTTAATTTTTTCAGTTATATTTGTAATTTCCAAGAGATCTTTCTCCCTCTTTGAAAAATGTTATTTCATGTTATCTCTTATTCTTATATTGTCATTTATCTGAGGCTACTAAATTTAGTTCTAAATATTTGGATTACCTCTACCCTAACATCAAATTGTATATTTTATTATCTAGAATTTTTCTCTTTACTCCTGCAATTTCTGTCACAATTTGGATGACCCTTGGTTTCCCTCTCATCTTTAAGAATAAAACAAAATAATTTCTTAGGAGCTCTGAGTGTATGGGTTAAGCAAATCTAGTTTTAAGTTTTACTTTAACAAATAGTCAAGGATCTGTTAGAATTATTGTCTCCAATCTTTAATTTAAAACACTGGACCTCTTCTTAGATTGGACCAAAGATTTCTTCTCTTCACACTTTGAACCACAGCAGGTAAATTGAACCTGATTTTTTTAAATTGTATTTAGTTATGATTATCTAATTTCTGTGTGGTGATCATTTTGTAGAAAGAGCAGGGAAAATATGTAGAGAAGTTCAACTTTTTCAATGTAACCTTTTAATTAATACCTGCCCTTCTCATTCCTGCCCTCCATTGAATGTACATTTATTGTATTCGTATATTTTCAGGTATAAGCTAAGCTAAATAACTGAACCCATTGTTTTAACTCCTTTTTGTAGGCATAACACTATTTTGTAGGCAAAATTAACACTATTTCCTTAGTTTTTCATCTTTGAGAAATTTGTTGGCTCTCTTGCCTGCTAATAGCATGGTAGGAATTTTCTTCCCATTTTCCTTGTGCTTTTGGCATATCCTTTTTTTCCCCAAATTTCTTTAATATTGTTCTATTGGGTTTTTATTAGAACAGGAAATAAACTCAGAAGTTCAGCTTGACATTCTAATCTTTAACAATAGTGTAAGCATCCCACTATTTAATCACATTCAAAAACTCTTTTCACCTATTATGTAAGCAATGTTGAGAGAGATTAGATGGATGACTATATACTGGTTGGGGAAGTGTACATTGGTATTATTACTATGAAAACAAATCTGGGTATGTGGATCAAGACATTAAAGATTTAATGTCTGGTAATTGTAACTATCTGCCCTAAGCAACTATCTAGAGACTTCTATGAAGATCTGAACAGAGCTGTTCATACCAGTTTAAAACAATAAGAAGTTTTAAATTAACCAAACTGTTAAAAAGTTAAGAAGTCATTATATAAAGTATGATAAAAACTACAGAAAGAAATTTTAGGCAACGAACAAAAATCAAGACATGTTTAAATGATGGCAATATAATATTAGAGGAGAAAGCAGGATAAGACTGTGTATTCAGTATAATTGAATTGTGAGTCATAATCATTTTTTCAGTCAAAACAACTGTTGTCATTTTAAATAAAAAAATATGTATTTTAAATAATTATGCCTTTAAAGTTTTGTAAGTCAAAATGGATTACATAAAGTTTAAATTAAATTGGATAGGACGATTACAGGGAGAAAATACGAATAGGAGTTATCTTGAGGTGATAGAATTTCAGTTGATTTTTATTTTTCAAATTATCTATAGAGAATGCATTGTATTTGTAATCAGAGTAAAAACAACTGGTTTCTATCCATGTTTTGGAGTTCACACTGAACAAATTGTAAACTTAAAAATATCTTAGCTATTAAATACTTACCCAGAATGAGTGACACAGATGTAGAAAAAACATATTCTAGGTTTATTCATTGCAGTGTTTCCTTCATATGCATGAACAGTATCATTCTACTCTCAGGGTATGTACACTGTTAGAACAGTGCATATAGTACAAGTACACTGCTTTAAGACAGGATTTAATATTATGAATTCACAAAGAGCTGTGTCCCTGCTCTACCCTGTCCCATTGGAGCTCTTTGTTGGCTTCACATCTATTTGGCTTACTTTTTGCTGCTGTAGGCATTTTTCATCTTCTGCATAGAAAGCATCTTTTCTCTGTTAAAGTTCAGTGCTATTCAGAAAGATATTGCCTTAGAAGGGAGGTTGCAAAAGCAAGATAAGAGCTTTTTAAATTAATACATTAACAGACGAGTCTGAACTGAGTCATCTTCTGATATGCTTGCTGAGGAAAAAAGTTCAATTGATGGAATTTTAAAAATTCATTCATTGCTCAAGAAGCTGATCTCATCAGTTTCAGCTGAAACTGACCTAAATGTTTATGGTTCTGTTTTTTGTTTAGTTGGGAGATGCATATAAGCCCATTATATTTTCTTTATTGATGTGTATTTTTAAACATGGTTAAGACACTTAGCACTCTGAAAAAACTTATTTTGCAATAAATTCCTATTAAAATTTCAGGCCTTCTTGACTATTACAGTGTTATGACACTGCACTTATTGTAGATTGTATAGCACGCATCTCTTCCATCAGTTGTAAAAAAAATTTTATGCAGTAATATGATAGATTATGTAATTTTAACATAAAATTTATAATTGCTTAATGACTGCACCATTTTTTCTGGCCTTTAACTTTTACTTTGTACAACTGAATACATTTGTGTATATTTATATATCTGTTAACTTTAAACTTAAATTATGTCAAGTTTTCCATATATAGCCTGAACACTTTGGTATATCTTTCAAGTTAGCATAAAGTTTTTCGAAAAGCTCTTTAAAAAATGCCTTACAATGTCATACTTTGGAATTCAGGATGATAAGATTCAAATCAATACAAAGAATGGCACCCCTGTTTGGGTATAAAATAATTACCTAATGTGAAATATACATGATTCGAACCAAAAAAGGCTGAAGGCAAGACTTTTAAAAAGTAGCTTATTTTGCTTTGAAAAATCTCTATTTCTAATCATATAGGTTTAGAATTCTCAAACAATAATTTTAAATCTAGTATGAAAAGAGAAAATACATGCAGAGGGTTTCATATGTTATGGGCAACTCACCACCCTCCTTAACTAGCCACTGCAAGTATTACCACTAAGATATGTTGGTTAAGATATCATTATTTGTCAAGTGTGTCTCCAGGAACTGCTTCTCCAGATAATATGTTTTATTTACAGTATTAAATCTTTGTCTTTCATAATTATTTCTTATATCTATATAATATTAAAGTAGATTATATGTCAAATAGTATGTATGAAAAGGAGAATAAAAGTTAACTTGTTAGATTAAGGTAGCATAATTATGGATATCTTTAAATTTAAATATTATATATTTTAAGATATTATAAAAGCAAATAGTCTAGCTGATTATATTATTAAACACAACTTGATAAAGGAGTTGTTTAAAATGACTAATCATGGCAATTTCTATCGTGGAAAAGAAGTTGACTAATCATGGCAATTCCTATTCTGGAAAAGAAATTATAGTAACCAGGTACATGAATCATGTGCATACCTAGATTCAAGTTAAAAACACCTTTCTCATAGGAGAAGAAATGGAATGTCTATGTAATATCACTAAATAAAGCATCCTTTCTTTGCCAGCTGTGGGAAGTGTTACTTTTTACTCCTTTTTGCACCACTATAAGTAGTCTGCACAAGGGTGTGTCCCATAGAGGAAAAACTTTTCTTTTTCCTCAATAAACTAGACATTTTCTGCAGAACTTACTAATGCTTATTGTTTTCACTTTTTAATATCAGAGTTATTTATAGCTATATTTTTCTGGTAATACATTGATGGTCTAAATAACTGTGCTAACTACAATCATATTTGAGATGATTATAAATATCATTTCTTATTTTTTACTTTATGGCCCAATTGGTAATACTATAAAACTGAAAGATACTTGAGAAATTTTAAATTCAATTATTGTATCCTATAAGTAGAGAAATTTTCTATTCAGAAATGTATAAATAGTGTCAAGTTATCAGGCAAAATAGCATCAGAATGGAGTGATATCACAGATTATGAGTTATTATTTGATTTTTTTCATTGCGCTCTGACATCATTTTTCTTTGAATTGTAGTATGAACACAGTAATTTTTTCAAATCCTTTGGTTTAGCTGTCAAGAAAGTTAAACTAGATTTTTATTTTATTTTTTTATTATTTTTTTGGTGACAGGGGTCTTGCTCTGCCACCCAGGCAGAATTCCAGTAGTATAATCAGATTTCACGACAGCCTTATCTCCTGGACCCAAGGGAACATCCTGTCTCAGCCTCCAGAGGAGCTGAGACTAGAGGTACATGCAATCATGCATGTCTAGTTTTTATATATTTTTTAGTAGAGACAGAGTCTCACTGTGTTGCCCAGGCCGGTCTCAAACTCCTGGGCTCAAGTCATACGCCCGCCTCAGCCTCCCAAAGTGCTAGGATTATAGCGAGCGTCAATATGCCAGCTAACATACAGTTTGCAACTTTGTAATGATACAGAGCTGTAGAATCTGTGCATTTGCATTTGAACCTTCTTTTTTTATTTATTCCAAGTCTACCTATATTTACATTTGAAGTGGTGTAGTATTTATTTATTATGTATCTGAACTACCTTATTTTAAATTCTTGGGATCAGACGAGCTTCAGAATTTAAATTACTTTTATGTTTATTTTAGGAAGGAATTTGGAACATATTTTAAATATTCACAACAACTCATAGTCAACTACATTCATGTTTGTGCTGCAAAATGTATAAATAAGTGGAGTAAATAAAGACCAACATTCAATTTACATGAGTTCTAGACAGGTTTTGTGGTCAGATCAATGATAGACTGTTGATCTTCAGAAATTTTTTATTTTAAGATTTTTTATAAGGATTGTGTATATGTGGGTTTTTCTGAACAGTTTATATTTAAAATGAGTAACTTTTTTTTAAAAAAGAAGTAAATGTGCTAGATGATTAGAATTTTCAAAGCAATATAGTGGCCAATCCTTGTGTAAAAAAAATTGCCAGGGCAAAGCAAATATTTCTTGTTTAATTTCCCTTTCTAGTAGAGTATTGTTAGTCCCAAGTAGGTAGGAAAAAATCTTCAAATTCAAATACTTGCTTTCTGGGGTAAGTCAGGTAACAAAGATGTGAAGTGGTCAGATGATTTGATGAATTAGAGAGTGGCAGACAATTGGAGCTGAAAAGAGGATGCCTTTTCTAAAGACATCCAGTCTCTCCCTCTCTTTTCTCTCTTCCTTCTCTGTCTCTCACAGCGCACACACACACACACACACACACACACACACACACACACACACACACACACACACAGAGCCAGATATGATGTCTAAGTCAGAAATACACCTACATTATAAGGAAAGGTGGAGTAGAACTTTTTATGAAAAGCTTTATGTCACCTTAAGTAATCTTTCACATTTAGTTTGTTTGTTGTTGTCGTTTATTTTACTTCCCTAAAAAATTTACCTAACCCATCACTGAATTATTCATTCACTTAATCAGTCAAACTGTCTTTCAACAAATACTATTACATCTCCACTCTATTAAAAATAAGTAAAACTCTGGAAAAATGGAAACAAATGAGGCAGTCATTTCTTAAAGATGAGCTAGCATTACTAAGCAGAGGTGAGAGCAAGCTGCTGCCGAAATGCAAAACATGTGTACCCAACTTAGTCTAAGGATGTCCGAGAAGCACTTGCAGAAGTGATGAAACTATGGCTGGAAGGAAGAATAAAAGTTAATTAAGCAATGTAATAGAGTGAGGGCTTTTCAAGTAGAGAGAACACAATGAAAAAAATGCACTGAGTGCGAGGAAAGAGGTGTATTTGAGTATCTGAGAATTCCTTATAATAAGAGCCTGATGATTAAAAAAAATAATCTCTAGTTTCAAACAATCAGGGCAAAATACAGCTACCTCAATTGTTCAGAATGTTTGAATCTTTGTCAATTCCACATTGTATCCTTCCTCCTATCAATGGCAAAATTCAACAGAATTTGAATGTAAATGATTCTATTTATGTGTCTGCTCTAGTTATTTTCATTTGTTAAAAAACTCTTCTCTGAACTCCCTACACTTTGAGACCACAAACAAACAAACAAGCAAAACTGCCTCTGATTATATTTGATAAATGCATGCCAAGAAGAAAGAAAATAAATATGATAATATACAGAAAAAGAAAACTACAGCAAGAAAGAAAGTGGCTAATTCTTTCTTAAACATAATTTCATAGAGTAATTCTTCATATTTCAAAGAAAAAATGCAATTTGTATTATAATTGGGATTCAGTGTTATTTTATCATATCAATATGTTTTAATTTTAATATAAACCTCATTATTCTTTAAAACACAAAAATAAAAGTCTAAGATATGCTTTAAAATGTAGCATTTTATTGCTATTTTCAGCTGCTGTACAATAGCAAAATGAAAGAAATTGAATTAAACAAAATTACATATTGCCCTCTTTTATTAAAATATCCCTACAAATGGGGCAAAAGTATCTGTTTTGATTGTATATAAAGTTAAGATATGAAAACTATAACAGAACAACAATAGCTTGCAAAATTAATCAGGAGAAACTTCACACTGACCCAGGTAAAACTACTAATTTAATTTTATCATTTCGAGTGAAAATGACTCGAAACCAAGGGAGACTAATTTGGACAGTAAGCTTAATAGCAAATGCCTCAATACCTTATGCAGATTATAACGGCTCCCATGTGGATAACAGGAGTTAGCATGAGTATTGAAAATTACACTTTTTCCTTGTCATAGTGAAAATGAACTGATATTGCATCTTATCTCCTCATCCACGTACTAAAATAGAAATTGCTTTCCAGGTTTTACTAATTTTACTGACAGAATATTATGTGAAGGAATTTTTTTCTCTTATGCATTTATTTTGATTTAATTTAAAAGTACACTCAGAAGCAATGTTTGAAAGTTATAAAAATCAGAAGAGAAAAATTCTAGTCATGTACACATCTATGATTTCATATGGCTTTATCAGCAGCATTCATTATGATATCCAAAAATAAAATGAGAAGATTTCTATTCCAAATGAGTCCATATTAAGCAGAAGCTATTCTGCTGCCTCTTTGAGAAACCGGATATATCTTAAATGAATGTGAACGTCTAAACCACACACACAAACCTTACACTATCAAATACCATAAATGCCAATATGAATAAGTTTGAGAAGTTTAATATTTGCATATAAATTTAAATTAATTTGGTAAATTATACTTCAAATAAAAGTAAGGCTTTCATCTCTCTAATATAGAGATAAACAAAAAATCAAGCACGGGAGAGATTATGTAACTACACATTGTGGGAGCCCGAAAGACCATTCTATAGCACAGACCTGCTAAGGGCACTTCAGTAAAGTGGTCACTAGACTCCGAGTCAGAGACTTGAGTTCCTGTCCTGACTACAGGCTAAGACCACTTGTGAGTAATAAGGGCAGTATTAAACAATTGCTCTGCTACTTTTGCCTTTGTTGATGTGTTCAATGCACTCAGTGATATACTGTGTTCATTGGTACACATATGCACGTAGGGGTGCAGATGTTTAAGAAAATATCCTCTTAAGAAACAGCAAATTACTTCCAAATTTCAGTTAAAATTCAAGTCACGTTGACTGTGCTTAAGCATTTTGTTCTACAGAATAATAATACTTTTTTTTGTTGACTCCACCAAGTTTTTTAAAGCTTGTTTAATTCAAACAAGTTGATGTAGCATAAAATATTTTAGCTTAGCTAATAAAGTGAAATACTCTAGTCTGTTTGAAAATTCAGCTCCTCCCCAAAATGGCTTACTAAAGTAATCTCATAAATCCTTGGCAGTTTCAAAGGATGCACACTAAATTGGTCTATACGATTCCATTCTGGGAATCCATTCTCTCTTTCACATCTAACAGTAGGCACCAAGGATCCAAAAGGTACTTAAACTAGAAATGTAACAAAGGGCTTAGCAGTGCCTTGAGGGTAAAAATTTCCTCACCCAACATACTTGGGCTTTATTCAAGGGATCCACTAAATTAATTTATGATATTTCACATTTATCTTAAGGATGGCATGATAATCTCAGAGTAAGTTACATTAATACATTTACATGAATCTAGATAGAGTATTTGGTTCATTTTCCAAAAGTCATCTTAAGGCAACAAAATGTTGGAAGCATTGTTACACTTTAAAGATCATCTAGTCTAGTTATTAAAAATATTTCTAAGAAAGAGTCTTTCAGCTGCTATGAAGATCGGAGTATGTGAAAGATTGAGTTTAGCCCCTCTACTGCTATTCATTACTATTAGTCCCATTATGTTATATGAATAAATGATGTGGGATGCTTTGCCGTAATTATGTTATAACATTACACAGTGAGAAAAATATCTTTGACTAAAGCACACTTAAGCCAAATATCCATTCCAATTAAAATGTCTTAATGTATTAATACTTTCATATCTGATACGAGAAAGCTATTGTATCAAGTATTGGGAATGGAGTGGAAAACAGATACTGTCTCCAACCCAGTCTAGCATACTGTCTGGTACTGAAGAAAAATAATTAAACAATTTTGCAAATAAATGTAAATGTACAGCTTGCTAATTACCGTGAGAGTGACTTGATGCTACAAAACCATATTGTACAGGATTTGACATAGACTGGGAGATGAGAGATGATGTCTCAGATGAACGGTTGGTGAAGTGTGATTTATAAAAATGTTTAGAAAAATTTATATCTAATTGTAGACTTATGTACAATTGTAATGGGAGAGCCACTCTTTCTGTAACTATAACTTTCAATTCATATACAAGTATGACCATTCTTCACAACAGTGTGATCAGAAAAGGTCTCAACTTGTAGGCACTTTTCTCATCATCACTGTTTCCTGACATGAACAAATTATTAATAAAACATTACAAACATAATGAAAATTGATCTTAAACTGTGAATGTATGAATGTACACTCAGTGTAAGATTCCAATCTTCTTTTTTTTTTTTTTCTTTTATTTTTTTGAGACAGAGTCTCCCTTTGTCGCCCAGGCTGGAGTGCAGTGGCACTATCTCAGCTCACTGCAACCTCTGCTCCAGGGTTCAAGTGATTATTATGCCTCAGCCTCCTGAGTAGCTGTGACTACAGGAGAGTGTCATCACGCCCAGATAATTTTTGTACTTTTGGTAGAGATGGGGTTTCAACATATTGGCCAGGCTGGTCTTGAACTCCTGACCTCGTGATCCACTCTCCTTGGCCTACCAAAGTGCTGGGATTACAGGCATGAGCCACTGTGCCCCACCCCAAATTCCACCTTTCTATAAGCTTTCGTACATTCTTCCTTTGTTGTTGAGCATATTCAACAAGTTTCTTCAATATAATTATTCAGATTAGATGTTAGAAAATCTTAAGATGATATTTAGATGTAAAACTTTTTTCTTGTTTACTGAATAAATATTTGCATAAGTTCTACTATCACTTAGAAAAATATATTCTGAAAAAAAGCATACTTTGGAAAAGCTCTTTGGGATGCAAAAAGCAACTTTATAGTAGAAAAGTAGACATTCAAACCACACCTCCCATTTTCACCAGAACTGACTTTTGGTATGACTATGAATTCATCTCAGTGTTTTGATTTCTCCAACTATAAAGGAGAAATTTATTACTTAGCTAGAGGAGTCTCGTAAGGTTTAGAGAATTAATGTATTTAAAGTTTTTTAGAATCTAAGATAAAAGGTTCTAGATGAGGGCAAAATATTACTCAAGATGAATATTGTAGTTTATCTCGCATTCGGGTTAATAAATGTCACTTCAGATCAAAGGTTTATTTTGTGC